TAGTAACAAAACAGAAGGAGTATTGATTATAAAAGTCAAAAGTAACATTAATTGTTAGAATTTAATGATTTTTGAGGGGTCTCTATTTGTTAAATGAAATTTATTACGTTTATAAATGATTCATAGTCAGCTGTATAACCGTATCAAATCCATGACTTTAATCAATGTTTTTTTTTCTTCTGGATCTGGCCATTTCGCTTTTTTATTTATTTTAGGGTAAATCGGAAAACATTTGTCTTTCTTCCAAGCGAAAATCAATCGGAAGAGTGAAGTTTTGTGTATCTCTGAAGAAATGAAATGTTAATAAAACAGAGTAGTGTGTAGTGTTTGCTTTTGCCATATCGCTATCCCTACTGTAACACTTTCCCTCTGCCACAATAATAAATAACAAAGTCATACAAAATAAAATAATGAATATCCAAGTGTCCTTCCTTCGATTAAACCGAGGTCACCAAATCTCTACATGTATGTGTGTGTATGTTTACTTCTGAAGCCAATAGCCACACATTGTCGCTAGGTTAAAAGAACAAAAAAAATGTGGACTTGGGATGATTTGGAATTTGCATTACAGTACATTGTTATTTATCATCATTATGTTATTAACTCTAGACAATAGTGGAATAATCAAACATAAATTATTGTTTTTATATATAGTATTTGTTATTGATAAAAAAAAAAACATGTAAAAATGAATAAGAGAGGCTTTTATTGTTTTTTTTATAAGATACGATGCTTAACAAAAATAGATAAAAGTTGCTGTAAACATCTACTAACAAAAAAGTTGTAATTTTGTTTTCAGATTCAGAATAAACAAATAAATAAAATTATTCTGGTCATCGAGATTTCAAGTGTCGATTGGTATTATTTTTCCCCAAGTGTTTTGTATGCATCTCTCTCTCTGTTTGTTTCACAGGAAGGGAGGATTTTTGGCTTCTCCACGCACGATTTTACGCATCCAGAAGCTAAACACGCCTCCTGAAAGAGAGAGAGATCGAAGATCGATTCGTCTTAAATCCCTTTTCATTCCGCTAGATTCTCTCTTCACCCATTTCTCGCTCGAATC